AAAAAGCATAGACACCATCAAGCAATCGTGGGCTCGAAAGGCACTCCATGGCAGGCATCCTTATGACTTGGCCCAGGATTTTGTTGACAAAACTGCGTCAAACAGCTGGTTAGATCAGGGATGCCTCTTTGGGGAGACGGAAGGATTCATGATTGCCATACAGGATCAGGTTATAAATACTAAAAACTACAGAAAACACATACTCAAAGATACAACACTCACAAATGACACATGCAGAAAGTGTCACATCATGCCAGAAACTATACAACACATTACATCTGGGTGCAAGCTCTTGGCACAGACAGATTATTTACATAGACGTAATCAAGTAGCAAATATAATACACCAAGAGCTTGCAAACAAACACAAATTATTAGACATCCACGAACCATACTACAAATACATTTCACAGACAGTATTGGAAAACAACACGCACAAACTGTACTACGACAGAGCCATAATCACAGATAAAACAATTTACCACAACAGACCAGACATCACACTCATTGACAAACACAATAAAACCACATACATTATAGACATAGCCATTCCAAACACTCACAATGCACAAAACACATGCACTGAAAAAATTAGCAAGTACACAGAACTCGCCCAGGAAATAAGGCATCTGTGGAGGATGGAAAGGGTGCTTATTGTACCTGTCGTTCTCTCCCGTACAGGTGTGATACAACACACACTACAGAAAAGCCTGGGAACATTACAATTGAATAGAAATACATACATAACACTACAGAAGGCCACTATATTGAATACAAGCCACATTGTTAGGAAATTCCTGAATACAGACACTGACACACTTATTTAATTTTAGTTTTGTTTTGGTTTCTATGCCTTGACTCTGGTCAGGCATAGTACACAGCCACCGGTGTCAACCGAGTATAACTCACAAAACACAATAATAATAATAACCTGTATTACTTTTCCTCTGAATTTGCATTGAGTGTCACTTTTTGTAATTTTTCTTATTATATAATACAGTCATAACCAAAATGAACCCCAGCCCCACCGCTAGCACTAGAACGATACAAACCGATGTACAGTACTTACTCTCGGTAGTCGCTAGCTTTCTAAGGCGGCGACAGACGAGAGCTCTGCGTCATGTAACATGCAACAAACAAAATGTTCGCTCGTTTGGACAGCCTGTGAATACGCGCTGCTCCGTTGCTGCAGCGTGCCCAAAATCATTTTCTGTCGGTCTTTGCCACGAACACGAAGGGATTTGTTGGCGCAGCATTCTTTATTTCCAATGCTCAGGCACACTTTGGTACTGATACGTGTGATACAAAATGTTCTTTACAAATCTTAAACAAAAGACATAAGTTTATAACATACGTATAACTGACAAAAACTTGATCTTTCCAAAACTCGGGACTTTTTTAAAACGCCGCGAGACGCGAAACAAATTATTAAAAATTGGGACTGTCCCGCCAAAAACGGGACGTCTGGTCACCTTAGGAAAAACAAATGTATGGACGACAGTGAGAATTTATAAATGTTTTCAAATTGCAGACCAATAAATGTTCTTAATTCTTAAATTGTCAAGTAAAAAAGTAAGAACGAAATGCAATGAGCACATTGTATATCTCTGCTTGTCTCTTGTCTCGTCATAAGGTACATCTGGAAATTGTAGGCTATGTTCTCCGATTTGCCGCCCCCTGGTGGTTAATTCAAGCGACCCGTGTGTCTGATGTATTGTTCCAAGGCACCCACACGCTGATCGGTCGATGTCATTGATGATGGACAGTAGATCGGGGTTAATGAGAGAGTCAGATCGGTGTTTAGGGACAGAGTCATACGAAGGGTGCGACGGGGTCCGTCGACTCAGAAGTGTTGTGTTGTTTCGTCTTTGTCGCAGTTAAGACACACTGGTGAGTCCGCAAAACGCCGAAGGTGCAAGTTAGTCAGTCAGTCAAAATAATCTTTATTGTATGGCACCGCCGAGCACAGCCAGGCAAAAATACAGAAAAATACATTGTAGATACATGTTGTTAGTCATAGAAAGGATACATTAATATAATGGCAGAGAAAAGAGAAAGTAAAATGAAATAAAATAAATGAATAAANAGAATGACACAGCAGAAGACACTAGAACAACAGTATTTTAACCGAAGTTAATATCATTAATTTTATTTCTTTATTGCTTTTAATTAAGCTAAATGGGTATGTTCAATTTTTATATTACAATCAATGAATTAAAAAGAGATAATTTTTGTAAATTTTTAACAAAAACGAAGTTGTTAGCCCAAAATACGCTGCTAATAGTCACTTAAACAACACTTGTTGGCAAGAATAAGAATATTTTCCATATTTTAAATTAAATTTTGACTTTTTTTTTATTATTTCAGATAAGAGAAAAACAGAGACAAAAGAAAACCAAAACGGTAATAAATTAATTGTTTTTATTTATAAGCTTAGAAAGCATTGTAACTTTGCACAAAAGATAACAAATGGAAAACACTTTTGTGCCAACGATTCTGCACAAAAGGCAGCAATTTGCAAAGTGTTCCATTTCTATTCAATCAATACAAAGTCTGAATTCTTCTACAAATGCGCTTAGTGTTCCTCCTTGAGGGGATTCTGATCTTCAGTACTCATTCGTAGATTTACCAAAGAAAATCAATTATTTTATTGAAGGAAACTAACGCTATAAAGAATCAAAATCGCGAACTAATTTGATTCGAAAATGCATTAAAAAACACACAAAAATTTTAATTAAGATTTCTTTTTTCAGGTGTTGAATTGCACTTAACTCCTATAAGAGATAACTTAAAATAGCATTGTATCGAGATAACACTACGTAAAACCCCANATCTTTTCAGCGACTAATTAATACAGTGTCAGAATTGACAAATGCCATCAGTTGTTTCAGAAACAGAGAGAATTTCGATGCTATCGAATCTCTGAAGTAAGTTAGTTTTATCCTTTTTTTCAATTAGAAAAGAGCAATTCTCATGCCATAAATATTTTCCAGTTTATTTGATTATTCTTCAGACATTCCTGAAGGAAAGTATCCTTATAATCAAATTCGATTTTGTCCTCAACTATGATGAAGTCTGGTAATTTGCATACGTTGCAACTGGTGCAATGTTTATATGCAAATTCTAGCACTGTAAGTAACATTAATTTATTTGTATGCAAAATACTGTTGAGAAATTTTAATTCTCTTTTATTTCTTTCCAGTTGTATTGATATGTACTGAGCTGTATTGAAACCATGGCTGAAATCTTCACTGATCTTACTTTCTAAAACAAGATTTTTTGATAAAATATTAAAATATATTTCTAGAATTTTCGAAACATTTTTTAAAATTAGAAAATGAATACTTTTAATTGCTGAAATTGTAATTGTTCAGTTCTTTATATTTTTTAAAATAAATGATTTTTCATGAAATATTACATTGTTTTTCTTAAATTAAATGAAAGTAGTAACCGTATCAAGCATATTTTAGTTGAAATTTTCGTGTTTTAATGAGTACAATGCATAATTGTAAACGTTCCCAAACAGAACTCATCAGAGAACCACTTAAATTTGAAATTTTGTTGGTCCATTATGTAATTATTAACTTACTTTCCCGGCTTAACTGATTAATAACTGACCAATTACGTTACATTGATTACAATGAAACAATTAATACTATAAATTATCATTATGTTATTGATAATTAATATTAATAATATAATGAACCATTTTAAAAAGGTTCGTTTTAAAATGGTTCGTTGCTCTGTGCCCATTTTGTACACCAAATAAATCGAAAAATTGGCACCTCTATATAAATTTTTGTATTATTTTGATAAATACTGTATATGCTATATTTAAATAAGAATAAATGGATTAATTTTGGTAACACAAATTTGAATCTGGGCAAAATCTTAATTAAAAAGATTAATAATACGCTATATACTAGGTTTGAATTACTGTTTTGTTTTACGAGCATATGACAGCATGTAGTTAGGGAAACTTGATCAACTGTGTGTTGTTATGGTCAGTAGTGTCAGTACACTTCATCTAGCGACAGAGCATATTATCCTTTGGATAAAACTCATTTCCCCATTTGACAAGGCTGTTTAAACATACGTAACTAATAGCTGGAACATGTGACTGGTCGATATGCAAGAGCAAAAGATAATTATTGGTTACAATCCCTGCAATATACCAATATACCTTATACATCGTAGCTTTCCTTTAACAATGGAGTCGTGCCGATTATCTAACACCTTTCGGGGAAAATTTGAATTGAAATAATGTAACTTTCAGTTTGCATCGAACATTTGTATGCAGTGAATTGGGGCTTCTTGCCCTTACGGTGTTCGTATCTATTCTTCAATTTCATGTATCTTACTCCCTTCTCGAGATTAAGAAAAGACACGTATGGACAACAATGTTAGGTCTACAAGAAGTATAGGTCTATAGAATTTACAAAAATTTTTTAAATTGCAGGCCAATAAATGTTCTTAATTCTTAAATTTTTAAATTGTCAAGTAAAAAAGTAAGAACGAAAGGCAATATGCGCATTGTACGGCAATACTGCTTTAATTTAATTAGATTATCAAACGGACTTCGCCATTGGTTTAATACAACTCTGTAAGCNGTACAATTTTACAAATATGCACACTTGTAAACGTTCCAAAACAAAACCTCTCGGAGAACCACTTAAATTTGACATTCTGTTGGTCCATTATGTAATTATTAACTTTCCCGGCTTAACTGATTAATTACTGACCAATTAAGTTGCATTGATTACAATGAAACAATTACTACCATAAATTATAGTTAATATTAATAATATAAAGGTTCGTTTTAAAATGGTTCATTGCTCTGTGCCCATTTTGTACACGAAATAAACCGAAACATTGGCACCTCTATAAATTTTTGTATTATTTTGATAATTACTGTATATGCTATATTTAAAGAAGATTAAATAGATTAATTTTGGTAACACAAATTTTAATTGCTTTGTATGTTGTTATTGTCAGTAGTGTCAGTAGACTTCATCTAGCGATAGAGAATGATTTCCCCCATTTGACTATGCTGTTTAAACACACGGAACTAATAGCTGGAACATGTGACTGGTCGATATGCGAGAGAAAAAGATAATTATTGATTATAACCCCTGCAATATACCGTATACATCGTAGCTTTCCTTTAACAATGGAGTCGTGCCGGTTATCTAACACCTTTCGGGGAAAATTTGAATCGAAATAACGTAATTTCCAGTATGCATCGAGCATTTGTATATAATTAATCGGGGCCTTCTGCCCTTAAGGTGTTCGCATGTATTCTTCAATTTCGTGTATCTTACTCCTCGAGATTAAGGAAAGACAGACAGTGTTAGGTCTACAAGAAGTATAGGTCTATAGTAGGGTTTCTCAAACGGGATTCCGGGATCCCGGGATCCCGGTTGTTTTTTTAACCCGGGAAATATCCCGGGAAATCACGCAAATTTCTTAAAAATTCACTTTTTTTCTTATTTTGTGTTAAGGCTGGGGAATTTTGCAAATAGAAAGCATAATTAACTTATTCACTGTCAGAATACATTTGTATTTATTAATTTTAAACCTACCTATTAGTTTTTTTTAAATTTTTGCTCGTTATAGCATGTCACAAATGGTCAATAATCAATATATANGGTAAAAACTATGAACTAAGTTTAATTATAATTATTAACTGTATACAAAGACTAAGCAGCCATCTTTCTGCTTCTTCATAAAAAAACAACTAGTGCCCCCTGCTGTTTTTCTCCTCCTCGCGGGATTTTTCTATAAAACTTCTTACAAAATTATTGGGAGTTTTATTTTCAATAAGAAGGTACATAAAAATACGAGGGTTGTTCAAAAAGTTCGCAAACTTTATTTATTACCAAAAAAAAGATACTTCAAATACAATTTATTTGTCAGGATCCTCTTCAAAGTAGTCTCTTCCGCAACGTATATACTTATTTCAACGGTATTTCCACTTTTTTAAACAGTCCCGGAACGCTTTTTCCGGAATGCTCATAAACACCTCCGTCGTTTTTTTTCTATCTTTGGAATGGTGGAAAATCTTTTTCCTTTGAGCGTGTTTTTTAGTTTGTTGGAGAACAGGAAAAAGTCGCATGGAACCAGGTCAGATGAATAAGGGGGGAGGGGAAGTACAGTGGTCTTGTTTTTGGCCAAAATCTCACGCGTTTTGAGGGACAAATGAGCCGGTTGTGGTGAAAAAAACCACTCGCCGCTCCTCCAAAGTTTGGGCCGTTTTTGCCTAATTCTGTCTCTTGGGCGTTTCATAACACCAGGTAGTATTCCGTGTTGACTGTCTGGCCTGTAGGTAAGTATTCGTGATGCACAATCTCCTTTTCATTGAAGAAAAAGTCAACATACCTTAACATTTGAGCGAACTTTTCGAGCTTTTTTGGGCGGGTGACTGTTTCACCCACCCGTGGGAAGTTTCCGTGAAGGATTTTCCGAGTTTCACACAGAATTTCACAGAACAACGCTGCCCTTTCAAAGAGCTGATTTCTGCGAATCTGACTTTTCTCCGAACCACACAAACATCCCTTCACATAAACGGCCGTAACTAATCACCAAAACAAGATATCGAAAACGGGTTGAAGGAAGTAACGCCTCCAAGCGAATTAAAAAATAACCAACTGGTTGTTCAAAAAGTTCCCGAACTTTTTGAACAACCCACGTACATTTTCTTTAGATTTTAGAATTCACAATAACCATATAAAAAGCAATTGTTTATTTTGTTTTGTTTTTGTTTATTTGTTTATTATATAGCCTACTGTTGTCCAACAGACAAGTAAACTATCTTATTTACAAATCTTTTCAAAATAGGCAGTTTGACCGTGCCCTTCTGAAAATCGGGCCCTAGACATTTGTCTCATTTGTCTATGCGATGATCCGGCCCTGTTGCCATCAATACAACGAAGATCTCAGCTTGGAAGACAGAGCATTCCGAGTGTAGAGAAAAGAAATCATTGTATACCTCCTCACCGTCCTGAAAGAGCACAAAGGCACTTGCCGTGCCATTCGTTGACTTGGAACCATCTGTAAAAGTTTCAATCGGAGGTGCAGGTGCGCTCACATTGTATTTCAATACTGCTTTAATACTTTTAGATTAGCAAACCAATGACATAGTTCGTTTCAAATCAAACGGACTTCGCCATTGGTTTAATACATCTCTGCAAGAAAATTCTCCAGACATCAATTTAAAATATTATAACGTGTTCACATACTATTAAAATTATATTGCTGAAAAAATTGAATTTATATTATTTTAATTGTCAATAATGTCGTCATTTTATGCAAAAAATTTAAGTATTAAATGGAATTTATACGAACCGCAGCATCGGGTGTTGCAAACGACAGTACTTTAAGTGAAGTCGAAATCACTCAGCTATTGTGTTTATTACTTTTGAAATTATATTAAATAGGTATGCCTACTTTCTTATATTATAGAAAAAATATAAGTATTTAATTCAGTCATTTACAATTAAACTACAGTTTGCCAGAAAGTGGTGGAAGATTCTCACTTAAACAAGTCTTTAATGAATGAAGATTTGGACTTGGAAAGTGACGACAGTAACGATGGTAATAAGTTAATTATAATTTAACTATAACGATGTTTACATAATTAAATTTTTGTTTAACTATATTTCTTCATACTTCGGAGGATGTAAATCAAGTTTTATACACAATTATCGTAGCATATTAGCTCTTGCTTTTATTTTGTTTTATATCTGAGAATTACTTTGCTGGATGGTCTTTAAACTTCTTTCATAACAAATAGCAGATAAGACTTGGATAAATAGTAATTATTCATACAGCTATACGATTCTCATTATAGACTACGCATAGCTCAATATAGTTCCATTACTGTAGTAAATTTAGTATATGGCTACCAACGTGATTGTTATCGATGTTATGTAACATTAACTAGTTGAAACATAACATAGAGAAAACTATAGATATTAATCAATCCAGTTTATCAATTGAAGTAACATGTCTGAAACTAAGGACCCATGCTTACAGATAATAATAAGTAATTTCTTTTTCAGATGTTTCTGTAACTTTACCAACACACCAATGTAAAGTGTGTGGAAAAGTTGCAAAAAAAAATAATTACAAAGCGTACACCTGCGTTTCTTGTGCGGTGTTTTTTGGCAGACACGTAAGATTAGAAAAGAAAATAATTACTTGCGTTACTGGGCGTGGAAACTGTTCGACAATCAGAAGGAGAAATATTATCACATGCGACTTCTGCCGCTTCAGCAAGTGTCACGACGCCAATCTGAGGCACGAAATAATCACAAGTAAGTTGTGCTATTGTCTTAAATTACAAAAATACAATGTTATAATAATCATAACACGAAACAATTTACTA